AACTAATCTTTGGCAGCCATTTTCTCACTAATTTTACCTCTGAAAACAGCTGACCCCCACCTCCTTCATTCGCAAATATCACGACTTGTATTCAAGATAAATGGATATTTTTTTCATCCCAAAAGACAACTGAATAAGCTTTAAGATGAAACCAACAACTCTACATGTCCAAAAATTGACGAGAGCCTGATTCCACCACGCTGCCTCACATTTCTCTTATCTGATAGTATAGAGCCTCCGAACATATCACCTGAAAAAGGCACGTGAATTTTATTTTAGGTGCAAGATGTTGCAGCCCAGCTCAAAAATGTACCAACAGCTTTAATGAGACAGCTTTTATATGATTATGTTCTCTTCCTGAACAAGCACAAGGAGAAAGGGGGCTCTCGTGGCCTAGAGGTTAAGGTGTTGGCCTCTCATTCAAAGGTCCCGGGTTCGAATCCGGGTAGCGACCGAAACATTTTCTTTTCTCTAAAATTGTCCCCTTTCACCTCCTTTCCTGCTCTCTAACAATGTTTTGTTGTCTGCTTTCATTTCCACTTTCTGCCCCCACCCCCTCACCTCCTTTGCTCCCTCCTCTGGGCTCCTGACTCTTTCTGCAGCCTTTCTACTGCTACTCCTTGGCTCCTCCAAACTGCTGTCTTTCTACCACACCCCTGATCTTCTGGTAGGAAAGATCTACACCTAGCCTTCTCGGACAGGGGCGACAAATCTCGAAGGGCCCGTGTGCAAGTTGCGCACGTTAAAGATCTCTTGGTGGTCTAAAATCGATAAGAGTAGCCTTCGGCCGCCACCCGGGCAAATTTCCTAAAAACTGAAAATATAAGGTGTGTCCCGCCCGTTCATATGACTTTATGCAGTTGCGAGCGCCGTAAAAACACTTACCAAAACAAACAAACAAGGAGAAAAGGCTGAGGTGGTCGAGGAACCACACAAAAAGCCTAGGCTATCCCAGAGACCACCCACCACCTCATCGTTCTTGAGCCTACATACCCTCTCTGCTACATCCCAGGACTGACCTCTTTCCAAAGTGCGGCAAAACAGCAGGGTAAAAAAATAATTATGAATAACTAAGGAACTGACCTTTGACCCACCCACGCTGTATTCTACCCCCCTCCCTCTCTCTCTCTCTCTCTCTGTCTCTGTCTCTGTCTCTGTCTCTCTGTCTGTCTCTCTCTCTCTCTCTCTCTCTCTCTCTCTCTCTCTCTCTCTCTCTCTCTCTCTCTCTCTCTCTCTAGCTTCCACGATTGTTTAACCCTATCCGTACGCGTCGGGGTCATTTTGTAACCCAGGAGTTGTATTCTTCACATTTTAGAATACTTCTAGTTCGAAGATCTCTTTGAAACTTTTAATATTTCTCAAAAAATCATGTTGACAGACTGCTATGGAAAGCGTTCGAATCGGATTAACGAGTAAATTTCCTCTTTGGAAGTGGTGGCACAGAGTTCTCCACGTCGTATGGATACGATAGTAAAACACGACGTACGGATAGGGTTAGGTGGTGGCACAGAGTTCCCCACGTCGTATGGATACGATAGTAAAACACGACGTATGGATAGGGTTTAAACTAGATTCGCTATCGGCGAGAAACATGGCCGTACGATTTCTGCTCATTGCGTAAAATAAACCTGTTTCAACAATGAACGCTCTTTTTCAATGTGTCTTGGGGTTATGAAACAAAGCTAATTATGACCACCCCAAAGACATGGATTTTAACCCTATCCGTACGTCGTGTTTTATTATCGTATCCATACGACGTGGGGAACTCTGTGACACCACTTTCCAAATGTACTCCTTATTCCGATATGTACGCTTTGCATAGCAGTCTGTCAAGATGGGTTTTTTTTTGACATACTGCAAGTTTCAAAGAGATCGTCTTACTCAGAATTATTATAAAATTTGAAAAATACAATCCCAGGGGTACAAAATGACCCCAGGGCGTACGATAGGGTTAATATAATCCTAGACCAGGCATTGTAAAGTCTACTGCTCTCTGCTCTTTATAAAAACTTTGCGCGTAAATGATGTGCACTCCATATGGAATCGGAACCACTCCCGAGTGCAAAGTCTTGGGTATTCTGATGCGTCTACGGATTCCCCAAACTGATGTATATTTGACACCCTTGTGTAGTTCATTTAGTGTGCTCTCTTCTCTCCTCCCTTGAAGGTCAAGGTTGTCCCCAGGCGTATAGTCTATTTTCAGAGAAAACACTCCGCTGACAGTGCTAATTTGTTGATACTGATATTACACCCCTGAGCCCTCTCGATGAACGGAAATGAATTAAAAGTAGTCTTTCTGTCCAAATCATGAACCTGTATTACAATATTCTGCTAGGTCATAAAATATTCGTACATGCTGACATACTTCGGGTTTGCAATGGCATAAACTCTTGTCACTCAATTTGGAGCCGTGTAAAGAGCCAGGGGGAAAGATGCTGCGCGCTGCTGTCGATTTGGACTATAGCGAGGCTGATTATAGCGAGGCTGATTATAGCGAGGCTGATGCTGATAGTTTGTCCTTCATAACGTGGACACAATGGTGTGCAAGCTTTGAGCCGCAGTTTATATAGAGGGCCTAGCCTACAGTGCAAAGATGCAGCCATATAGGCTAGGTGGACGGTCTAGAAAAAATGTAAATTTAGATCTAGATCTATTTCAACTCAAATGTGGCATGCCTCTGCTCATACTTCAGGTATTAAAAAAAGAGTAGAGTTGCATTTGATAGTAATCAAGTTCATCGGGGTTTTTTCATTTTGCATAAAAGATAATATGTGAGCCAGCGTGGTGGAATCAGGCTCTCGTCAAAATACTCAAAGCGAAGAAACTTGCATTTTTCCGCAGGTTTGTGAATTTTATCAAACTTTTGATTTTGGCTCAACACCTTTCATGCCCATTACAGAACTCATTTCTGTGTAGATTTCTGAAAAACGTTGAATAAACACACAAAAAAATGTCAATTTTCTGTTACTACGGACTCTTAAGCAAAGGAAATAACTAATCTTTGGCGGCCATTTTCTCACCAATCTTACCTCTGAAAACAGGTGACCCTCACCTCCTTCTGTTGCAAATATCTCGACTTGTGTTCTAGATAATGGGATATTTTTTTCATCCAAATAAAGACAAGTGAACGAGCTTTAAGAAGCTACCAATAACTTTACAAGCCCCAAAATTGACGAGAGCCTGATTCCGCCACGCTGCCTCACATATATTCATTCCATTTCTCATTAATAGTGGTCTGACTTTAAAACAAATAATTTGGTTTTAGATTCGAGCACTATTATATTCTACAATAGACTTTGAGAAACATTGCATCTGTTACGAAATGAAACTACGAAAATAAAAACTTGTCTTGTTCATTGTAAGAGCTGACGGCTTTGAGGAAATTGTCCAGTCGCAAGCGAGATAACTTGCCTGCCAATTCACGAGAAACTATGTACGGGCATCGATCATGAGCGGTGTGTTTACGAACTGTACCATAATATCGGGGTTTACGAACTGTACCATAATATCGTGGTTTACGAACTGTACCATAATATCGTGGTTTACGAGCTGTACCATAATATCGTGGTTTGGAAACCTGTGTCTTGGACTGACAGGGCCTTCAGTTCCGGTGAAAATACTATACTAAAACAAAGATCGTACATAACAAGATAGTACACTCAGCCAAAAAAAAAATATATTAGTGTAAGTTCGCGCATTGGTGCAGATGGTGCTGCAGTCTTTGTTTTGAAGCTTTCTTTCGTTTCTTAATAAAAAGAATACGTGGGTGGTTGGTGGTTGCTCTGGTGTGTTCTGCTCCTTCTTTCCTATTAAACTTCTATCATCCTTATCTCCCCTTCTTCTTTTTACGTTTGTTACTCCCTTGTAACACCTCTAATCATCTGGCGCTCATATGACCTTATGCAGTTGCGAGCGCCGTAAAACCTCTACTAAAACTAAACTAAACAAGAATAGGAATAGCCCAGCTTGCTAGTTTCGCTTTATTGTTTATCACACAAGTAGGGTAACTCTGTTCGCAAAGTCCGCTCTTTTTCGAAGAAGGCGACACCGGATTTTGAGGACACTTTTTTTAATTGGCTCAAAGAGAGGAGTAAACTACACGCATCTTGTTAAATATAAAATCATGATCTTTGCTTAAAATTAAAATCGATGAGTAAAATTTGATAAGGTAGACTTGTATCTGAAATTTTTCCCCCCAGACTCTTAATTAACCATCTCTCGGAAGGATTGGAAATGTACTTACAACTTTTTCAAAGTTTACTGTCCCATCATGTTTGCTTTGTCTGTGTATCTAATGATATTAGATTATTCTGTCCACTCTTCTGCTAGTAAAACTTTTTTCTTTGGGGGGGGGGTGCACACACACACCCGGTAAAATAAATATAATCATCCTGTAGAGGAAACTTCACTTGAAGCTAAACAAAAAAACGTTTCTCTTAACGTAGGACATAATATGTGAGGCAGCGTGGTAGAATCAGGCTCTCGTCAAAATAATCAAAATGAAGAAACTTGCATTTTTCCACTGGTTTGTGAATTTTTTTCCAATTTTTGTTTTTTGCTCAACACCTTTCATGCCCATAAAAGAACTCATTTCTGGGTGGATTTTTCTGAAAAACGTTGGTTAAAGGCACCAAAAAAAAAAAAGTAAATCTTCAGCTACCACGGACTCTTAAGCTAAGGAAATAACTAATCTTTGGCGGCCATTTTCTCTCTAATCTTACCTCTGAAAACAGGTGACCCCCACCCCCCTTTATACTCGAATATCTCGACTTGTATTCAAGATAAATGAATATTTGTTTCACCCAAATAAAGAGAAATGAATAAGCTTTAAGATGATACCAATAACTCTACATGCCCAAAAATTGACGAGAGCCTGATTCCACCACGCTGCCTCACATATTTCACACTCCTATCGACACCCTTTGGATCGTTTAGGAAGGGAGCTTCGAACGTACATGTCAGATTCAACAACCTTAAAAGGTAACGAGGTACTCTATAAAAATAAAATCTTCCCGTACAGAAATCGGACTTGGGTCACCTGAAGGCGACCGTGACGCACCTAACGGCTAGATGCATACGCAAGCCGATCTGTAGCAGAATTCGATAACGTATTATCATAGACGGGGCTTTTTCCAACGCTTTCTGGCCTTGGTAGGTTGGCGGGTGCTCTTGTGTGGTTTGCCCCTTTGTTCCTATCAAACACCTACAACTGTAATCATCTCTCCGCCTTCTCTCTTGTGTCTGTTACTCTTTTGTAAAACCTCTAATCTGTGGCACTCACATAACCTTTTTGTTGTGCAAGCTCTTACGAAAACCTGAACGTTTACTAACGCTATGTTTTCTCCTCTTTCGCTCGCCAGAGCCTTTAGTGCGATATGACGTCCACAAGTCCCAGGTCCCGGTCTGAAGGTAACGGCGCCCTCCACAGCGCCAGGCCCGATGACAAACCCGACCTCGAGGGGAACGTCGACTCCGACGACTACGACACCGAACTCCCAGACAGCGCCGAGCAGCCTCTTCACCCCGAGGAGCCGGCCAAAAACGGCAAACATGTCGTCTACGAGGGGAGCGACGTAGACGGGAAGGAGGAGGAAGGCGGGGATGACACTCCCAAAGCTCCGGACGGCGGCTACGGTTGGCTGGTCGTCCTGGGATGTTTTCTGAGTCACGTGATCACGGGTGGGTTTGAGCGCAGTGATGGCGTCTTTTTTCTTCAGTTCCTCTCTCGCTATGGGATGAGCGCCCAGCTCACAGCCTGGCCGGGGGCGCTGGTCTCCACCATACGACTCTTTCTAGGCCCCGTGTCCAGCGCCCTGGGCAACAGGTTCAGCATCAGGTCCACTACGATGGTGGGTGGCATTTTAATCGCAATAGGATTCATCCTGACGAGTCAATCGCCCAACTTTTACTTCCTGTTCTTCTCCCACGTCTTCGTGCACGGCATCGGGAGGGGTTTGGCCTACGCCCCTGGTTTAATCATCGTGGGTATGTACTTCGACAAGCGCAGGGGCCTCGCTGCCGGACTGGGCTCTGCGGGTGTTGGGGTCGGGACGTTCCTAGTGGTGCCAATGGCGCAGTTCGTCTTCGATACCTACGGCTTTAGTGGTGCCTTTCTCGTCCTTGCCGGCTTTTCCTTCAACATGCTGCTCGTGGCTATGCTGTACAGACCGCTAAGCATGCACTTGCGTTTTACCCGCGTTCGAAACGCCCAGAAGATGCGCAGAATAGACACCCAGGAGGGCGTGGTCTTGTCAGAGGCGGCAGATGTCTGGGACGATCAGAGTGTCCGCTCGTGGCGGTCACAATCCGTGTCCAGCGCTCAGCGTTATGAACCCCCAGCACCGGAGAAAAAGGCTGCAGTGGTAGTTAACAACAGTGTACAGAAGAATAGCCTGCCTGCCAACCGTAAAGAAAAAGGATTTTTCAAATCAGCTTTGGACATTATTTTTCCTATCGAATACAAAAACAAAAGTAATCAGACGAAAAAGAAACTATTCAACTTTCAGCTACTCAAAAACGTACCGTTTCTCCTTTACTGTTTAAGCATTTGGCTATTCACGCTTGCTTTCAAGGCGGCTTTTACCTTCCTGCCCGCCCTGGTCAAATCTCGGGACATATCAGAGTCCAAAGCAGCTTTGGTGCTGTCTATAGCTGGCATCGTCGACACGTTAGGCCGGATAGCAGCGGGGCTGTTGCTGGACAGAGAATTCATCCGACCGTTCAGGACCATTCTATACAACAGCTTCCAGTTCGTGGTGGCTGCGATCGCTTTCATCATGCCCATGATGCAAGACTTCTGGGGATTCGTGGCCATCGCGTGCCTGTACGCGTGCTTCACGGGCGCCTATGTCTCCCAGAAGTCGGTTATCGTGGTGGACATTCTTGGAATAGAGCACATGGCTAGCTCCTTCGGAATCCTCATCTGTTTCCAGGGCTTGGGCACCATGATGGGACCGCCGCTCTCAGGGGCGCTCAAAGATCATTTTGGCTCGTACGACGAAGCGTTCTATTTAGGCGGGGGCTGCATGATACTGGCGTCTTTACTGATGGTGGCCAGTAACGTGGCTTTGAGCATGCAAAGGAGGAGAAAAAGCAGGGAGACCAAGGCGGCTGGGTCGTCGGCAGCCTAGGAGAGTATTCGGCGCTATTTGCGAAATCGAAAAGACATGAGCTGCTCCAATGTGCTCTGTGGACAGTTACAGGCGCCACGCGCTTGATTCTATCAGTTGTTGGTTTACTGAGGAAAACTCGTCTCCATTGGCCATGACAACAATGTTTTACATTTGCGAACATTACTCGCCTGGCTGAACGCTACCGGTAAATGTTCAGTGATATCAAATCGTGAATACAACTGACATTTGGTGAGGGAGGTTATGAATTTTGTGAAGTTACTGCCTCAGTGAAAGACTTCTACTATTCATTTCAGTCACAGCTTTGCTGTTATGACAGCAATCATGTCGGCAACCTCCTCCCCAATCTATGAGACCATGGCTTCGGTTTTTGACGAGTCTATAAGCAAGGACATTTTTTCACAAAGGACAAATCAGTTATATTCAGATCCGGAAAAAGACGGCCCGGAGAAGGTCTTCTGTTCTGGCTGACATTATGGTTTGGGACATAGGGTACATGCACACATGTAAAGTAATCCTATCTGAGAAAAATACATTTGAATTAAGAGCAGAGCACTTTTCAGTCAAGTATGATGTGTGGTTTCCGCTAGGACAGACACGTTTTAATGAGGTCACACCAATGTGTGTGCTTAATTCTCACGGTGACCAATCGTTTGCTCTGAGAATCCAGAAATACCTGGTTCCACACAACTTGTGAGATTTCCTTTGGCGGAGATTATTTGAGTTGTTATGTTGTTGAGGTGGACACAATCACGTGACGACAACGCCTTTAACGGCTACGGGGCACCTGAGGTGAAGACACGGCCCCGGTTCAAAGACCGACAACAATGACCATGTGTATACATTCTATGCAGTGACCATGTGTACACATTCTATGGAATGACCATGTGTATACATTCTATGCAATGACCATGTGTATACATTCTATGCAATGACCATGTGTATACATTCTATTCAATGACCATGTGTATACATTCTATGCAATGACCATGTGCATACATTCTATGCAATGACCATGTGTATACATTCTATGAAATGACCATGTGTATACATTCTATGACATGACCATGTGTATATACATACACCTTCTGATATACATGTCTGCCGCACCAAGGTAGACCGACGTGCCTGCACACATTATTAACTTTAGCATCTTTGTTTCAATGGACGCCTATACCCATTCTCCATCTTGTGTCAAAGGCAGGAAGACGTATCTGCACTACAGATAGGATATTTCACTGTGGCAAACAGACGTAACTGAAGGGCCACGTCCATATTTCCAAAGGCAGCGCGACGTAACTCAAAATCATAAAAAGTGCAGATACGTCGTTGCACCTTGGCACAGCAGAATCATTGTGTAACTGATGGAGAGATCTCGCTATTGACTGGAAGACTTAATAGCCTAACTACTACTGCCACATTCATTTTTTAAAAAATTATTGAAGGATAGATACAATTTCCAAGGACAAATTCATTTAAAACTGACATTGGTATAGACAAGGTTACTAAATTATAAAAGGACACATTTTTGTAAAGAAATAGTGAACGGAACCATCGACAATGTAACAGTTGAAAAGATGTTCACAACATGTTCCCTTTCCCACAATGAAAATACGGCAGGCACAGCATTAAAAAAACCAACAACTGAAACTCATTGCTGAGAAAAAGGTCCAAATAATCGACCAAAACATGCCACACGGTTCTTTTTTCCAAATTTCAAGGGACGTATTCGAGTTTTTCATTGAGAAAAAAGGTCTTCACCCGGAACAAAACATTTTATATAGCCGCCACCTTATCTGAATTATTTCGGCATACTAGTTTTAAATACATTAGTTCTTCAATGCACAAATACACACCGTGCTTAATTTTTAAGACGTTGTTAAGTTTAGTTTGTTTGTTTTAGTAGAGGTTTTACGACGCTCGCAACTGCTTAAGGTCATATGAGCGCCAGAAGATTAGAGGTGTTACAAAAGAATAACAAACATAAAAAAGAAGAAGGAGAGATAAGGACGATAGATGTTTGGTAGGAAAGAAGGAGCAAACCACACCAGAGCACCCGCCAACCACCCACTTAAGTTTTGTGTTTCACTCAGTTGTGGTTTATCTTTCTCTAACTCGATAGTTCTCCATATAACTGACAAATTTGACGTCAACAAAGTTGTAGTAATATGACGAACGTGCTATATATGGATTTTCTAAAAGATCCTTATAATTTCAGACAAATAACTTTGCATCTTTGAGCAATAACGCGAATCCCACTGACGTACGTAGAACCAATACGAAAGCGCCCCCCCCCCCCGAATCCTTTTTCAACGCCCACTTTTTAAACTCATTGTGTACTCTTTTATCTTAGTCTGCCTCTAGGTCAGTATTTTTTGTCCCTCTTTATCTTCGTCTATGTCTTTGTCAATCTGTTTGACTGTCTGTCTGTCTGTCAATCTCCTTCGGTCTCACTGTCTGTCTGTCTGCCTGTCTGTCTGCCTGTCTGTCAGTCTGTCAGTCTCTCTCTCTCTCTCTCTCTCTCTCTCTCTCTCTCTCTCTCTCTCTCTCTCGTGTTACCTCTGCAAAGAGAAGGAGAAGAAAGTGTATTGTCACTGAAAGAGTCAACGTTCTAAGATTGCATGTAGGACAGTCTCGACAAGGTTACCCTGACAGGCTTGAAGAGAAGGACGAGCCTTCCCACGGCCCAAATACATAGGTTAACTCTCTCTCTCTTCTCCGCAGGCGGCATTCATTAACCCTTTCACGACGCACACTCTGGTCTTTAGGCGACGCCCAAAGGTTTTCAATTAATTTTTTAAGACACTTTAAGAAACAGTATTTTTATACAATTTTGATAAAGTGGGAGGGTGTTTTTAAGGCGCCCCTCCCTCCTCGCTTGTTTGTTGTTGTTGGTGGGTTTTTTGGAGGGGGGCTGTTTTGTTTTATTTTATTTTATTTTTTTGTTTAATTTTATTTTTATTTTTATTTATTGATTATTTTATTATTGTTTTTTTGTTTTTTTTTAGGGGGGGGAGGGTTAAACTGTCATCTTACTTAACTCTCATCTGCCCTCTTCTTCCTCGTTCTTCGCCCATTCCATCCCACCCTCACTCCATGATGTTCTGTGGAATCATTTTGTTAGAAATATATTTTGTTCTATTTTTAAGTCAAGAAGTCTACGTGTTTGTACAAATAAAGTCAGTGATGACATCATTTTGCACTGATGAAGTTCTATGACCGAAAATTCTGCAAATGTTGTTATCCCATTACATTTTTTGTTTTGGTCCTTATTATCCCAATTTCTTCTATTAAACATGTAAAAAAAAAATCTTACCATCACAATTTGTATACATAGTACATGTATTACTGTAAATATGCGACTAAGTGAGCTGGTATATAAATTTGACGCAAGTAAGATTTCTTACCGTCCTTGTTATATTATAACTGTACGTGAGCACTTATAATGCTGTAATTAACAGTGACAAAGAAATTTCGAGAGACAATGGAATCCTAGCAGCAAGTTTTGAAAAGAGATCAACGCCGCGTAAGCTGCATCGTTTTGAACGTACAAAGATGGCGGCTGTTCCGATAATCTCCGCCCCTTCGGCTTCCACTTGCTTGGAATCGAGGCCTGTAAATCTTTAGTTCCGTTATCCTCGTTTGGAACTGTTGAGCGGCAATGAGCGGGCCACGCAACTTTAGGGCCTCTCCCTATAATCACAGTTACTCCAAAGATCAGACATTGTGTGTGGATGGTAGGCGGGTGCTCTGGTGTGGTTTACTTCTTCTTTCCTATCAAACATCTATCGTCCTTATGTCCCCTTCTTCTTTTTTATGTTTGTTACTTTCTAATTGTAACACCTCTAATCTTCTGGCGCTCATATGACCTTATGCAGTTGCCAGCGCCGTAAAAAACTAAAAAATAAAAATGATGTTATTTATCTTTACAAAGTGTATGCTCCTCTACTAAAGCTAGCTCTAACTTAAAAAGACATTATGTGTCTAGCGCGTCCTTCGAGGGTTAAGTTAGCTCTCTCAGACCGTGCGTGCTTCCGCCAACAGGACCGCTGTGTGTGTTGTTGTACACAGACTTTGAAAACACAAGCGTAGAAGAAACAATTCCGTGCAGTTTTTCTTGTCCTAGCTTGCACATTGTATCGCACCGGAACGGTTAGGTCAACAATAATAATTTCAAGCAAACGGGAATTTTAAGGCCCTCCCATTCCATCAGCGTGTGTGTGTGTGTGTGTGTG